CGATGTTAGCTATTTGATTACATCTATGCACTTTAGTACATTCTAGCAACAACATCAATGACGAGCTTTCTTCCGCCTCAGTGTTCGAATTACACGTCAATAACGGATGGCACTCGTCGCACAACTAATACAAATCTTGGGGCTGAGAGTGATAAATCATATTTTAGCAATATGCCCACGTAGATACGATTTGAGGGTGTTGCAGGCACTCGTCTTGCTAACTATTCGGTTTCTTCTCCACGTTGTGGATCAGAAGGAGCTGGTTGAGCTTAAGCATCCTACTGAGCCAACAATGGGAAAGACGATGAATCAGACGGTTTATTTTAACTGGAGCGGCATGAGTTGCATTTGGCCTATGAAGATTTCTGAGACCAACTGTCATGGTTTCTCTGTTTATGCACTTGTTTCTCCGGCCATTTCTGAAGCTCGTTATTGTACTATATAAACTCTTGTTGTTGAAATAAACAGGCAGCCATTGAAAGCATAAAAGACCGTGAAAACCATTCGATCATTTTTACATCATTTATTTAATACATTTTTAATCTTGACCGACCATGCCAATTTCCATGAAACAACACATTTGACTTTCGAAATTTAGATTCAAATAATAAACTACCATGGCTTTATGTTTAACTGCGGAATGGGTTCTGCTTGAAAGTCATACAGTAGAACAATTAAATGAGGATCACTAATGGCATCAGTTGCTGTAAAAAGGACTCTAATTCATACGGTAAAAGAAGTTACTAGTGAAATTATCAAAACTCGTTCCAAAAAATGTCCAATGTGATTATTTATCTCCTAGGCTATTTGAAATCATCGAAATACTAGAAATAGGCTATGCAGTTTGATTCTTTCATTTCTACGTAATAAACTATATACTGTCAATAAGTTCACTTGTGTGTCATAATTATTTTTCTCATCACAGAATGCTAAATTTTCAGTTATAATAATGTCTTATCAGTAGTGAACAGCCGATAATTTGTTCAAAATCTATCAAAATTGTCAAAATACATGTACAGAAAAGTGGAGACATATTTGCTCCAATTATCGATTTAAAATATGTGCTCATCGATGAAGTTTTACCTACTGCTGAAAATAAACCTGTCTGAATACGGTTCGTGTTGAGTTTGCTAATTTTTTTGTCTCATTCTTTTTGTCCTTGCCGTTGAAAGAAACAAGCCGATATCACGTAGTATTTGTTCTTCATTGTGAATGCATGGAACTCTTGAATCAGGGGTGGAACCGGTTGAGAAATATTAAAACGGTCCGGTCCGGCCGGTTGAAAAATCCTACCGGTCCGGTCCGGCCGGAAACCGGCCGGTTGGAATCACATGTCCAACCGGTGAAATTCCGGTGAAAACCGGTTAAAAACCGGTGGAAAAATGTCGAATTTTTTTTTGAAAACCGATTTTTAGAAAAAATCGCTCCAAATATGAAATAGTTTAAGGCGCATGTAAAAGACACTCATCATAATGAATCTTTTTAAAGAGAACCTCAGGAAAAACGATTAATATAACATATGTTTTGAGCACTTTTTTACCTATTCTGACAGAAAAAACATGTGATACCTTAGTTTTTATGGTCAAAGACAGGATTAACAAAGAAGATTTTTGAAAAATTTCAACCGGTGAAATTCCGGTGTTTACCGGCCCGGTTGATTTCTTCAACCGGTCCGGTCCGGTCCGGTACCGGTCCGGCCGGACCGGTACCGGTTTGCCGGACCGGTTCCAACCCTGTCTTGAATTAGTCCCGTTTTGGATTTATAAGTTTTACATTTGACTCTCGAATCACAATTTAGAATTTCTATAGCACGAGGGTTGGTGAGGGTATCATATCTTCATATTCTCATCCTCACTCTCAGCACAGATTATTTGAAAAAAGTGTTTACTTCAAGCAAAAATATACAAGCGATAGAAAGAGCAGTGGTAGTGTCTGTTCATGTTTGGAGCTATTGGAAAAGTGAGCATACTCTTGGCGTGAAACTTTTCATGAGAGCCACGCAACGTATCATTCAAAAAAAAAGAAAAGAAAATATCTCTCTATTTATGAAATATTCAGTTTTAGTATTAAATGGAAGAATGTTGCCATAAAAACATTTACCTTCGCTCACTGTTCCAAAACATGTGTAAGTACATGTTTTATTAAAGTATCTGAATATCAAATGTTTTCCAAAAAGATGAGGAACGATGTATATCTTTTTTTGCGAAAATCGGTCAATGATTCACTTGAATTCTTTTCGATTGGTTACTCTTATTGTTATACACGGAAATTTTATGAGCGAGTCAACTTGTTGTATATGGGCTTGAAAACATGTAATTCGTCATTTTGTTTGAATTGGCGTCAGATTTGTAGCAGTATTCCTGACTAACAATGGCAGAGATGAACGTGATTGTATGCAACTAGAAACGAATAAATGTGATTCAAATGATGAATGTCGTCATATAGTCTTTCTTTAGCTCATCCTCTTCTTTAAGTTGAATAGTAATTTCCAAAGTTTGTCAATCCAGTTCTCCAGCTTTTGAGATAAATAATATGTTTCTTTGTGTCAATCACAGTATTGTACATTTTCAATTTTAAATGGTACTTTAGAACTAAGGGCATTGATCAAATTTCAAGTAATTCGGCACGAGACACACGCGTATTTAAAGTGGTCCACAATGTCGTTTGAGGTGTGTGGATGTGAATGTTTTTTTTACACTGACACCCCCTACCTTTTATTTGATTCTAATTGAAATTCACATTAAGATCAACAAGCACAAGATCGTATATCTCTTATAGGATAAAAATTGAAGTACGAGTTTTACGTTTAATGACTGTTAATAAAATTGAAGAAAAATCTTAGCTAGTGCAAGATATAAATACAATGTTAATCAAAAAGTTATACAAGGTAGAAATGCTTAATCGTTCATCAACATCTAGTGAACGTCATAATTATCTTGAACAATTAATTGAACAAGATAATGATATCAAAGATAATAATGAAGATATATGTCAACATCATATTGTCCAAGGTATTTTAAAATTATTCTAAGATACATGAGGCGAAATACAAAATCAAGCTGTTCAATGTCTTGAGCCATTATTATATTTAGTAAATGGATGATCATTTAATACAATATATGATATATTATAGGGGTGTCGGATTAGCATTAACATTGCATTAATTAATACTTTTTTTAATGCTTTTGTATTAACATTAAAAAATTAACTTAATGCTTTTGCATTAGTGTTAAAAAAATAATTTAATGCTTTGGCATTAGTGTGAATTCTGTATTAAGAAAATGCTAATACCTATCATGATCGTGTAATTCGTTTATAGAACTGTCATAGTAGTTTTATGACCAGCTTCTCTATAGTTGAATTCTCTTTGTAACATTTCTATACAGAGAAAATGTCGTGTATGCACCAGGATGACATACATGTACATTTATAGTTCTTCAGAAAGCATAAATAGTTTTATCAAATATCGATATTGTGGGTGTGCGTGTGCGTGTAAATGAAGAGATATCACACACCTGCACTCGCATCCACCCATTCACACCCACACCCTTCTTTTGATGTTGTCTAAGCAATAAGATCTACTATTGTCGGCTTTGATAATGAAGTTCCTGCATTAGGTAGCGGATGAACAAATTCACAATGTGTTAATTTCTTACAATTATGTAGGATCTAATTTGTATTTATTATTCAAGTTCGGAGGTGTGGGTGTAGCTTTCTTTTCTTCACTGTTCACCGCCAAAACCGCATAAATATTTTGATAAAGATACTCTTCTTTTTTTCGATTCATACTGTATCTTACTTTAGATTCGTATATTTATGGACATAATTGATTGATGATCTCAGACGATGCACATCATTTTATTATGTAGTTCTCGAAAACGATTGTTTTTTTTTAGACTCACATTATAATCATGATGTGCATTATGAGCGAATATGCTGCCGCTCATAAATAATTCGCCTGACATGGATTCAGTTACGCTTCAGTATTTTTCTCTATAAAAACGAAACCCAGTCCCTACAATGTGTTCTGGTCTTGCGAAAGAATTTGTTCAGATAGTTTGAGCGCAAGAAAAGTATGACATATGTTTGATAATTATATTAAGGTGTGGGTGTGATAACAGATGAAAAAAGAAGAATCACCCACATCCATACTCTACGGTGTATGAAGCATGGTAAAGGAAATCTATTGGTGATTGTAATAATTATGTTTATTCATATCAGCAGTCTGCGTTAGCATAACTTGAATGTTGACTAGAGGTAATCATTTCATAAAAGAATTAAAATTAACATAAAAGAGACAAGAGAAAGAAAGGCAGAATAATATTTTAAAAAAAATGAAATTCATCTATCCAAGAGTTATTCTAATTTTGAAAAATATCTTTTGTATAGTGTAGTGATTCAAACAGTCTCGAAGTTATCTTGAATTCTTGCTATTTGACAGAATAGAGTATTTTGCATGCATTAACTGAGGAAAATACACACATTATCATTCAATGAATAACATTTGAAATTAATCTATTCTATAGTATTATTAGAGGAACCAAAATAGACAAAGTTTCGTACAAGATAGATACCACACATCAGCGAACCAAAAAATGTAACTAAATGTCAATTGAAATCATTCAAGAAAATCTTGCTATATTTAAATCAAATCAATGATACCTATCTATTAGGGTTACAGAAAATAAAATATGAACTTATTATCGGCACATTGATACACAACAATCCAATCTGATATGGCGTTCTCAATGAGATAACATGATATATAATCCCTATCGTAAGATTATAACGATGCGAAATCAAATTTCAAAACACGTTTGTTGATCAAATGTAAAAAAAACAATGTTCCAAAAAAATATTTTGAACCATTCTATGTCAATTCAGTTGTTTGATAATTAAATCATTTCTCTTTATGTATATAAGACTTTTATTTTCGTACTCTATTACAATTTTCCAGAAAAACAAACAAAAAAGAAATCATGATTATAAGGATTATTTCATTAAATCATTGGAAAATCATTTTGTCGTCGTAAATGTATACGACATATTGGACATAAACGACGTAAAATAATATTAAATTTATGTCGAAAAAATTTACTAAATATATAAAATAATATTGGATTAAAAGCTGTTGATGATAAAACTAATAATATTGATATAATAAAAAAAAGACGATTTTCATATAAATGATGTAATCGATTTATTTGTGTATAAATAAAATTAATTTGTGCTGGTGAAAATGCAATAAAATATAATAATGTAACAAGTAATAACATAATAATAGCTCGTTTACGTGCTGTATCACCAGTTTTATTTGTTGAATTTGATATTGGCATTAAATTAGATTGTGAACGTGGTGTCATCATTGCCATTAAACTTAGATTATTATCGGTTAATGGTGTCGGAAGTGATGAACTTGTTTTTGTTCCTGAATATTGTCGATGAGAATCACTTATTGAACATTGTAATTGTTCAGCACGAAAATGTGCTTGTACAGCACGATCAACCAAAAAAATTTTACGACAAATAAGTATATAAAGTATTGCCTAGAATAGTAAATTAAATATTTATGAAAATGAACTGATATCTATCAATATGTACAAAAACAACGAAAACATAATTTATTCTTACTACAGATTGTTGTGAAAACAAAAAAAAACGTATATTTTTTATTGTTTAATTTCTGTTTTTTTTATTTACTATTAATATATCATGTAATATGATAAAGTCTGTACTTTCTTCTTATTATTAAAGAAAAGTCAAATTCTTATCTTCTAAAGTAAAAAAAAAAAAAAGAAATAATGGGGAGAAATTCAATGAAGTATAAAAAGTCTACCTTTTGATATTTTTTAATCTGAATTCTTTATTAAGATTCATTCTAGTTGATAATGTTGTATTAGACCTTATTAGATATTCTCTTATTATTTTTTTCTTTTACTTAATCATTCTTATTATACATGCTGTTTTATTCACACCTGGTTCTTTTTTGTTCAAAAAATACCCATTAGATAAATTAATGTCTTTAATCTAGACTTTCATTAAAAAAAAAAGAAACCTCACCTCTCAAATACAACATGAAAGAAACTTATGCTATTTCAGGATTACTTTTTTTGTACTCAAAATAGAATAAATAGATCAATATACATATATGTTATTAATTTTATTCATAAGTTATTAACTTACTTGTACAAATATAGGTATAAAAAAGAAAACTATTGATTCAGTATATTTATAAAATAAAGCAAAATATGGATGTGTATAATGATCTGATAAACCACATACATAATATTCTGGACGATTAGTTAGTGGATGTAATGTAAGTAAAAATAAATTCGGTAATGCCATTATAATTCCAATAGACCATATTGAAATAAATATTAATAATAAACGTTTACGTCGATTAGAATGAGAAATTTTTACAGCATGAATTATTGCAATATATCTAAAAATATTGTCATCAAAAAAATAAAAGAAAATCGTATATATATATATTAAATTTAACCTTTCAATACTAATAATAAGTAATGTTTGTACACTAACATAACAACCAAGTACTTGTAAAAAACGTATTATTTTACATAATGATAAACCAAGATACCAAGCTGTTGGCCATGAATGATCAAATGAAAATTGTATTATATCAAATATATTAAAAATAAGAATAATTAAATCAGCACATGACATATTAACAAGAAGAAGATTTGTTGATGAACGACGAATTTTAATATGATTTGTTAAAACAGATAATAAAACAAGAATATTACCAATTAAACCAATAAGAACAATAATTATGAATAATATAATAAGAAATATTCGAAACCATTCTGATGGTCTATCATTAAAATTTGACATGATACTGTGATTCATTAGTGATTTGTTTTTTTTTTTTAAATCTATATTTAGTGATAATTATCAAGACGGTTAGAATAAGTCAATCAAATAGTAAGTCTTGAAGAAAAAAAATGAGGAAATAGGAAACAATCATCCGTAATTGTGACGAAGAACAAACCAAAACTAATGGAAAAAGAAAGAAAGAAAGAAAGAATATATGAGAATAAAATGATGATGACGTCTCTTCAGAACCGATCCAATTTCTCATATGTATGCATTGTCGCGCATGTTTGACAAGATGTTTATAAAAAGAGAAAAACAGCAACATATGAAGATCATTAAAGACATGAACAATAGTCTTCTTTATTTGGCGTGACGATTTGAAGAGAGTGAAAAAAAAAAGAAGAAGAATCCCTTAAGAATAGAGAAAAACTTCATCTTGTCAAGTGTAATTTTTATTTTATCTCCTAATTATTTATTTATTTTCATATTTACAATCTTAATTTACCTTTACAAATGAAATAAGAAATATAAATAGCTATATTAAATAATGAATATTATTGAATTGATGTTATATTAAAAACTAAAATGAAAGACAAAAAAAAAAAGAAGAACTTATAAAATTTTTTTTTTTTGTATATGAAATTACCTTTTGTTCTTTTACATTTATAAATAAGATAAACTAATATAACTAATAATGTAATCACAAAAATAAATATAAAACTAATTGATTGATATCGACTTTCTTGAAAAACAAAATAAAAATTAACTCCTCAAATACTTATATTACATTCTTCTCAAAAATAAAAAGAAAAAAACCAAAGTATCTATCATTGAACAAATCACAAAAGAATATAGATGAGAGTAAATTACCATAATGTATTTGACAATCTTATCTCATTACAGAATGAACAAAGAAAGAAAATAAGATGAAGTCAATATACAAACCCTGAAGAAACTTATCAGATTTTTTGAATATTGTTGCTTGTGTTGTTGACAATGTCACAAATTCGGAATCTATGACAAATAGTAATCATAATAATACTGATTTCTTCTCAATATTCTTACCAATCAATGGTTTCTCGACAATTCTATTTCTTTTTTTTTTTAATGATAAAAAATTCGAAAGAAAAAAAAACATCTGTTTCGATAAATGATATCACTAGTTGATTACCTGGAATATTTGAAAGATGATATTAATGAAGTGCTTAGTTTTGTTGATTTTTCTATTAAGAATTAAAAAAAAAGAGAGAGAGAAAAAAATCGATGAATATATCATTCAAATATCAACAAGTAATATGATCAATATGAGAAGGACTCAGAAAGATCGAGTAAATAAGGCCCAATAGTCTATTTTTCTATATGAAATAATAGAGGACAGAACAACAGAGTATGTGATCGATCAATTTTCTTTCCCGATGATGCTATTGATTGATAAGAACCTTTTCTTTGGATTTCTATTTACTGGTAAACATACAAGAAATTCTTATCTATTTTCTTCTGTTTTAATTCTGTCAAGACATATGGATATATTGAGGAATAATCAAAAAGATTACAGGAAAGAAAAAAGAAATCTTTGATGAGTATTGTAATTCTAAAAATAAATACAACTGCTTAAAAATATAGAGTAAATCCGTCCATTTATAATCTCAAGAGGAACTTCCCACTTCTTGGACACTAACTTATACTACATAGTAAAGCATAAATTTTATCTCTAATCTGAGATCATTTACATATGTTTGAACAAATATATATATATATATATATATCGATGTAATGACATCTTTTATTGACTATGTAGAACATATGGCATTTAAGACATATGCATATTTAGCTATTGAATGCGATTTTCTATCTAATAAAAGCAAATACATAGTGCTGTTCTCCTCCATATGTGACGAAACTTATTCTTAACATTATGATTAACAAATCGATAAATATTTAGATATTAAAGATTAATCAATATTCAAACAAAAGTAATCACAAAAATGATCTAGGTTGATATGTCAAGATATATTGCTACATATACGATAAGCTCATTTTTGATGAATCCATATAAGCATATTTTTCATGAACTACAATTTTCCACAATGAAAACATAATTATTGTAAAATTCCTACTCGAAACAATACTAAAACATAATTATAGTTATCCGACAAAAAAAAAACTCAATATATTTACTGTCCTTGTATAGATAAGTGATCTTATTCAATCACCATTGTATTTCTTGTTGTATTCCTATGATCGGAAACTAATAAAAGGCTGTAATCGGATATATAGACTCAATAACTGGTTTTAGTATCCGGTAATTTTCAAAGTTTTCTACTCAAAAATATTTTGATTGTACTAGATAAAAAAAAAACAAAGAAAATAAATTATAGCCGTCAAAGAGTAAATATTTTATGTGATAATTTAATCATAGACATTTATTTATTCGACGCTATTTTTCTACAAATAGCAAAAGAACGATGTCATTGATCCTAAAGATAAGTGTACTTTTTATAGCTGAACTTTGTTGTTTTTTATTATTATTATTATTAGATGTTTTTCAGAAAATATAGGTTTGTTGAAAAGAAAATGAAAATTACATATGATATGTGTTTGTAATTAGTCAGTTTTTCTCGTCAAGATAATTATGAAAATAATCAAAGAATTTCATATTGTGATATTTATTGATGAATATGATTTTGAATAAGAACATTAAAAAAACAAAACAGACATATTTTTAAATAAAAATTTCACTTCTGATTTTTATGGAAATGTATGATTTTCATCTAGAAATATTATTTCATTTTAAATTCCTTCTATTTTATTGTTTAGATATAACAGTAGATTATTTGAATAATAACATTAAGTCTGATCTATTATTGTTATCATCACTGAATACAAAATCTACCAGACCAACAATGAACTTAAAGAACACAGGAAATGTCAAGATTGATTGTTCTGTTTTCTATTAATTCTAAGTGAAGTTCTACAAATAATACCAATACATCTTTCTGAAAAGCACAACCAGTAGAACATGTTGTTTTTATTTCTACTAGTAAGCTCAATTTAGTTATCTCGTACCTTTGATTTCAATCAATTGAATACATGTTGAATGCTTCCATGTATTTCCATATGGAAAATTAATAATTGAACATGTAAAATTTTGTTCATTATATTCTTTTGAAAGATATATTGTAGTATTTATTCGTACACGTATACGCCAATTTGTTTGTAAAATACATAAAGAATTCGATAATAAAATAGTAGAAAGATCATCATATAAACAATCAATAGTTTCATTTGAATGAATTATTTGATGATTTAAATTAAATTGTAATATTGATTTAGGATAAGAATATATTTCACATAAAATATTTATACGTTGTGTATCATAAAACCAAAATATAGATTGATCATTCATAGAAATATCATTGATATTTAATGAAAATGAAAATGGAGTAACTAAAAAAAAACAAACAAACGAAAAATAAAATTATTTTTGTTGTACAATATTCTAACCATAAATATTTAAATAAAAAATCATTATTTCAAATATATTTGTTTTATTATTATATATAACACATTGAATATTTTCAAATGCATTATTTATCCATTGTCGTACCTTCAAATAAGAAACAAACAACATTTAAAACATCGAATGATCAATCAATAATGGACATTCTCTGTATTTTGACTATACATTTTTTAAATTCTCAAACTTGATTGTTTTTCTACAAAGATGTACTGTCAAATTCTCTATGATTATTTGATTAGATTCATTTTCTATAGAAAGTAACTTTTAGTTCATTGAATTTAAAAGATAAATGTTCACTGTTAAATTTCATATGAAATATTCCAACGAGAAGAAAATCGATGCAAGTCTTTAAAAAAAAAATTGCATTCGTATTCCATACAGAGAAAGAATAAATTGATTTATATGTCAAAACTAATTATAACGCCTTAAGGATACAAATAATTGACTGAAAGTGACATTTCTATTGATTTTCATTAATTGCAAATATTCCTAGTGAATGCTCTTGATTTTTCTTCATTTTGTAAGCATTGCTGATGATTTGTCTTGAATAGATAAAAAAAAAAACTAATGTATATTGTCTTTGTCTTTCTCGTCTCAATTCAACATAAATATTCAAATAGAAAGGCTTTTTGTTTCTTTAGGTTAAACAATTGACTCTCTTCTATGCATTGCGTATTCTTTGTTCGATTTTTCTCCGGAGCTTTTGTTTTTTTTATAGAAATATTCTTAGAGAATTCGACAGTATGTCTTCTAAGAAAAAAAAAACAGTTATAGTCACAAAATATTGAGAAATTTTATTATTTCTCGATCATCCGATATGTAATTCCTAATAATATAAACTTGTTAGTACATTGAAAAAGATCATTGTATGCATATTATTTTCAAATATAATATCTCTTGATTTATCTTCATTTTCATTTTGTTGTAAAAATTTATGTCGAAAATTTGAATTTGTATAATAATATCTAATTAATAAGATAAATTTGAAAATAAATTAACAAAAAAAATATTTTTCATTCTACCGATAAATATTATTATGTCGTAAACTTATACGCCATGCAGCTAATATATATGGTTCGATTAGACAATCAAATTTAACGGTTCCATATTCTTCTATATTAAAAGTTTTATTGGATATAATATGTAAATTTTGTAACATATTAATATTATATTGATTTATATATAGAAGAATGAGTATACAGAAGAAATTAGTCATTGATACTATAAACAATAAATATTTTATATTAATTCGATTAAAACAAATCATTCGTTAATTATGCGAATTACAAAAAATGAACTTTTGTAACTATGAAGTTGTTCCAAATATTCTGTCAGACCATATTAAAAAATCGATAAACATACATATTTATCGTAGTTGTCGAAATTTCTGTTATTATAGGTGAAAATTATTTATACATAGATCTTCTTGTATTTTATTTTTGACGAAGAATCGAGTGCGATGAATCTTGATCGACCTTCATAAGAAGAAGCTAGAAGGTCAACATAGACTTTTTATTCAGATAAGGATATTCACCATTAATTTCTCTTGATATTTTCTCCGAGGAGTTGTCTAATCTAATCAAGTATTCTCTCAAAATATCATGAAAATAGTCACTAGTAAAGTAAAGATTCATGTGAAGATTATCCTAGATAATGGATACGTCATTAAGTGTTAGAATCATAGAAGATTGAACTCTTCTATATGTAACAAAGTACAAACATCTGAAATTTTATTTATCAATAAAAGAATGAATATCAATGCGTCAAAAGAATAGCGCGATCAAGGAAAAAAAACAATGTTTTGTTTTGAATCCATTAATTTAAGTACTTTTTATCTAGTAGTAGAACTTTTGAAACCTACTGTATCTGTTTTTTTTATTTGTACAAGTTTCGATATAATAAAAATAATAGTAATATACTATTCGTACGTTATATGAATATTTCAATCATTTGACTAAAACATAAAGTTATACTTAACTCTGAAGTAAATACAAAACTCTGCTTTTGTTTTTTTGTTGATTTCTCTAAATTTTAACGTAAGCTTTTATTCTAAACATGATGTCATAGATATATGAAATAAAATTTCATTCAAATAAATATAATATTACGTTAGAACTGAGAAACGTCACCATCGTATCACAATAGGCAATGTCTATAGTTATGATGAAAAATACTTAAGAGGGCTCTTACCATAAATTTTTGTTGTTTCAAATTAGATATGGCACTTTAACTTTACTTTAAAAATAAAAGTTAAAGTCTGACTTTAACTTTAAGAGTTAAAGTTAAAGTGTTTTACTTTAACTTTAAGAGTTAAAGTTAAAGTAAAGTACTTTAACTTTAATGTTAAAGTTAAAGTAAGAACACTTTAATACTTTAACTTTAACTTTCAAAGTTAAAGTAGATATCTAAAGGATGTTCTGCATGATTATTCTTGATTAGTCCCTTAAAATTACCTTCATATATGTGCTAAAGAAATTATTTATACCAAAAATAGAAGAAGATCAGATTAAACGAAAGTGAATTTACGGTAGTTCGAAACTATCAAAGGATAATCTATGTAAGCTTCTAGGGTCTTTCTAGAGATAGTCCTTGTCATTTTTTGCGACTTATCAGAAAGTAATATTTGTGACTTTATGAAATTTCTCTATAAATAATTCCTATAGACCTAGAAACGTCATAGAGATCATAAATCATTGGAGCCTATACGATGTGCATAGTCCCGACTTAAAAGCGATGTGGCAGTTGGTAATATTACCTCGTCAGAGTTGCGCTATGATTTCGAAGTATGTACTGAAATGAAGCTAAGTACACATGTCATCAGCAGCGTAATGAGGAATTTTTGACTCATGGGCCATTTTCCAGCTAAATTAATTTGAGGATGGAGCAGAAATGGGTTGTTAGAAATCAATTGGACTATAGCTTTTTTACAACTTATTGTCGTCACAAAATCGACGTTAATTCTATTAAGATTCTTCAGAATTGGACAATTCTTATCATGAAAAAAAACTATGGGCAATAACTTTTCAATCATTGAGCAATTGTCTTATCTCTGGCTACGCCACTGCATGTCATAGAGAAGTAAATAAAGAGTACTTTCCAAAAAATGAGCGAGAAATAAAAGCTTGGCGATAACCAAAATAATAAGTCCTGTTTATTTCATTGATACAAGTCATATATATGTATATATAAAAGACTCTTATTCATAATGGCCTTGATTCACGCTGTAGCTAGAGGCTAAATGAGAACCTCTCCTGTGTGAGTCTTTAAGAAAATACACATCTTTTATCATTATTTTTATTTTATTTTCAAATCAATCTTTATCGAGAAATTTTTGTTTTTCTTATTATCATACAAAAAGCACACGCATATGCAAGCAAAATAATGTTGTTTTTTTCCACTCTATAAAATTTTCATACAAAAAATATATCAATACTTTACATCAGTGGCGGAGCCAGGATTTTGGACTAGGGGGAGCTGAGCCCGTCAAAATATTTTTGACTCGTATTAGGAATTTGAATTTTTTGCATTATTTCAATATAGAGTGATTGGTTATTTTTAGTGATACTTTTCTCAGAATATAAGCTGAACGAGCAAGTAAAACAAAAATGTTCAATGCTTTATTTTAACATAATTCTTCTGTTTTTATGATTCCCTAGAGAATGTACTGAGTTAAGAGTACCCGAAAAAGTACCCTGTTACCAGTATGTCACAGGAACTTTTGGATACCAAAGTACTTGAAAGTACTTTCAGGTACCTAAGTGGTAATTTGACAAGTGCCCTGCTACAAAATGTGTAGTAACTGGGTACATGAAGGTACTGATCAGATACTCAATTGGGTACCATTGTATAGTATTTCTAGGTACCCTGCTACAAAAATTTCAGTATGCTCAGGATCGAACCTGAACTTTAACTTTTTTTATTTTTTGTTTCTCTCGAAGCAATTCACTACATTTTTTTTCGATTTTATTCAATTTAGTTTTTTCAATTCCAAAAAATTAGCAGGTACACTGCCGGGATCTGACCAGACTTGAGTTGGTCAGGTATCCATCAGTCCACTTCGGAGTAGTCTGCTCTTGATCTACGATCAAGATCGTCATGCTCTCGACTAAGCAATAGTCAAGAAATAATCTAGAAAAAATTAGTAAGAAAATAGATTAATTTCTTATGTCTTACCCAGTTGCTTATATGAAGCCGTGCGTGAAAAAGAAAACGGTGAATGAATAGTCGCTACACAGAACGCGACAAATATAGGGTACCCTGTATACCTTTCCTCAGTCAAATTACAGATGCAAGTACCCATACAAGTACTTGTTCAGTGAGCGTACTTTTATGGGAACCACACGCAGTACCTACATCAGTATAATTACTGAGAATTTTTGACGTACCCATATTGGGTACCCTGCTAGGGCTTTCACAGTACATGGGCACCCTGAACTCAGTACTTTCTCTAGGGTTGGACGAAAACTCTTCAACTACACTGTCAAAATCAATTTTGAAATCTCGTTCTATTGATAGTACACAAAAGTCACTTAAACGTTGGTCGCTGATAGTGTTTCGGCCCTTGAATCATTAAAACAACATTTGGAAAAGCTCGTACGAATGGAATTAATTCAGAATATACTCTTTAAGATCCAATAATTTTCTATTCTTCCAGCACACTAATTTTAGAAAGAAGAAAAATAAAAAGAAGAAAGTTCAACCAGAAGTTTATTCCCTTATTAGAACAAAATTTTGAACTCTGAAGAATTTATTACATTCGAGTCACATTGACAATATATATTGTTATAAAGGGTGTCACATAAGTTTTGATCCCCTTCAAGTAATAGCCCTTTCTTATATGTTTTTTCGGTAGAAAAGGCTAATATTTACAGCATATATAAAAGACACCTAGATCTACTCTACGCTAGAATTTCAGCTTTCTATCTCTTATAATGATAGAGATACAAGTAACTTAAAATTGATGGGGGTTTTTTGAAATAGTAAACGGATGGGCCAGAATAAATGACTGCGTTTTGTATTTCATTTTCTTATCATCTAATGAGTTGTATTAAAAAACAGAATATGCCACAGGATGCAGCGTGAAAAGCTCTATACGCTACATTCTAAAGCTTCTCTTAATTGTGTACTTTTTGTTTTAAAAAAATGTGAGACCAATTTTCGATGCTACGGAAAATAGACGCACATTTTTTGAAAATGAAAGATACACTGTTAAGATAAGTTTTACTATGTAGATTGCAGAGCTTTTCACGCTGTATCTTGTGGTATATTCTGTTTTTTTTTAAGAAAAAGCATTAAGGCAATAAAAATATGAAATAAGAAAAAAGGAAAAAGGAATTTGTTCAGGTAGAAAAAACATGATCTTTGAGCATCATTGAAAATCGATCTCACAGAGTTTTGCTTTTTTTGAAAACAAAAGGTACACAATTAAAATAAGCTTTACTATGTAGGTTATAGAGCTTTTCATGCTTCATCTTGTGGTATATTTTGTTTTTGAATGCAACTCATTAGATGATAAGAAAATGAAATACAAAACTCGGTCACTCATTCTAGCCCACCCCCACCCTTTTTTTCTAAAAATATTCCAATAAATTTTAAGTTACTTGTAGCTCTATGACTATAAGAGATAGAAAGCTGAAATTCTACCATAGAGTAGATCTAGATGCCTAGTATAAATGATGTAAATATTAGCCTTTTCTACAGGAAAATCATATAAGAAAGGGCTATTACTTGAAGGAGATCGAAACTTATGTGACGTCCTTTATATTTATATTTATATATTTTATTTCATCATCTTGAATATTATATTTTATACATTTGTATATTATACAGGGTGGCCCAAAAGTAAGGAAATATAAAGAGTGTCCCATAATAACTGATGATAAATTTTTAATGGTATTTTTCATACTTTTTATTAATGTAGAGACCTGAATTTTTTATCACATACATATCTAATCAAGACCTTTTATTTCTGAAAGTTTCAGGTCTCTACATTAATAAAAAGTATAAAAAATACCATTAAAAATTTATCATTAGTTATTATGGGACACTCTTTATATTTCCTTACTTTTGGGCCACTCTGTATATCTATACAATTGTAAATAATTATTTATTCAAGATACTAAATAAATAAGGAAAGATCTAAGTATTCATAAAATGATCAATGCAACCATACTACAACGTAATCAATTTTCATTCTGACCTCACAATATCACAGATCGCTGTATCCTGATAAAAGCGAACTAATGCAGTCTCGAATATACCTGAAAGAAGCTGCTCGTAACATATAAAATCTCCTTGAAACTAGTACCCAGATGTATTGTATTTTATTGTATTTTATTCACAGGCATGTCGATTCTACAAACTTAGGTTTATATGTTAAAACGTGAAATAGCAAACACTGATACATTTTTGTATAAAGAAATGGTTTTTTCTAAACTCTCGCTAGGAGGGGCTCAAAAATACGTAGGGTGGGCTCAGCCAACCCTTGCACCCCCTGGCTCCGCCACTGGTGAGAAGTTATTGTTTTCTTGTTGTTATAAATAACAATAACAAAAAATGTTATTGTTACAAATAACAATAACTTTTTTCTATAGTTATTTGTTATAAACAACAGAGAAATAACAAATAACTTTTTTTTTCTGAAAACTCAGCTCGCTGTCTATCGTGATTATATCATATGAGTCAGCACTATTGAAGTTAGAAGTTCGTTCTAAAGCATAAGCATAAATAACGGGTGCAATTCAGATATACAACAAGGTGAGACAAAACTTTTTCCAGAAAACAAGTTATTTGTTATTTATCTTTTATTTATAACAATAACAATAAATTCTCACCCCTACTCTCATCTATCTTCTCTTTATGTGCTTTTCCCTGTATGAGTATATGTATACACTGATGTATCTGTTTGCTGCTCTCTCGATAGATATTCTCCTTTCCTAGGAAAGAGACGATGTATAAAAAGAGCGATTGATTTAAAATAGAGGCAATTGTTAGACGCCACACTTTTGTTGTTACATAAAGTCTCTGTAGAGATGATTCTTATAACTTTTTATGAAGGACTCGGGCTGCTGCTCAATACTTTTTAGGGTTCATCCGATACGATCCTCATCCCTTTTATGGCAGCTATCCAGGACGATCTCTACAATGTTTCTAGGTCTATAGGAATTATTTATAGAGAAATCTCATAAAGTCAAAGATATTACTTTCTGACAAGTCGTAAAAAGCGACAAGGACTATCTCTAGAAAGAGCCTACAAAGTTACATAGACTATCTTTTTATTGTTTCGAACTACTGTAATTTTACTTTCGTTTAATCTGATCTTCCTCTATTTTTGGTATAAATAATTTCTTTAGCACATATACGAAGATAATTTTAAGGGACTAATCAAGAATAACCATGAAGGACATCCTTTAGATACATACTTTAACTTTGAAAGTTAAAGTTAAAGTATTAAAGTGTTCTTACTTTAACTTTAAGAATTAAAGTTAAAGTACTTTACTTTAACTTTAACTCTTAAAGTTAAAGTAAAACACTTTAACTTTAACTCTTAAAGTTAAAGTCAGACTTTAAACTTTAACCACTTTATCAAAGTAAAGTTAAAGTTAAAGTGCCATATCTATTCAAATATGTTCTTATTTTTCCTCATAAAGTGCTTTTGAGACAAATGAAAGTGAAAAGACTTTAAAGAGATTCTTTTCATTTAGATAACAGAAACTTTGACTTACTTTCATATATTTATTTCATAAATTCAAAAGTTTAGAAATGATTTATGTAGCTAATAAATACTCTCTCATATCTACCTGATTTCATTTCAATCATCTTATTTTACATAATAACACACATACAAACGAAAAAAAAAATTCGTATCATATATCGTTTTATTTTTCTTACTACAACAAATCGAATACAGATGTGTATCTTATTTCTCTGTATTATTCAACATAATGAAACAATTAGTAATCGAACAACAAAAAAAAAAGCCAATTATTTATTCTAAGTTTATATATAAATATATTTATTTATTTGATAACACCTGCTGATTTCGTAGTTCTTGTAAGAACTTGATATTTTGATGTTAAATCTTTATCAATTAATTGACATGTTTCAATACATGTTCGTTTAACAGATTTATAATCTGTTTGATTTGATAATGTATTTGGATAAGAAATTTTTTGTGTAGTAAGAAATTTATTTGGTACAATTGTTCGAGAACTTGATGGTATTGTTGATGATAGAAAAGAAACTAAACTTGATTCAGATCGTTGTGTTTTCATTGGATGATTTAAATTTATAGAAGGTCCATTAAGTATTGTTAATACTGGTTTTACATAATGTTTATTAATTGATGAAGTTTTTGGTCGAAGAATATTTTCATTGAAATTTATTATTGGTTCAACTGGTTCTGAAACACCATTATTAAGTGATAATAATAATGGTAGATCTTGTTCTAACGAATTTTCAGCAGATGAAAGTTGTTGTTGATTTGTTTTAATTTTCGATTGTTCATTTTGTTTTAGTGATTCTTAATGAAAAATAAAAATAAATATGAAATATAATTTCATCGAAATTTATAGAAATATTAGTGAAATAGACTAATTAAGTTATATATATATAGAATCAAAGATCATCACTTCCTATTAGTTCTTAACATTAGTCAGTAATGTGAGCATTCATTTGATAGTAAACAAATAAATATGAAGAGTTATTCTAATAGCTGTTTGTTCATATATATAATAGAATTATTCTGTTCTTTTTTTTTCAATATGAAAAAGTGAGACACATAACAAAATGCTTAGTCCAATATTTAACTTTTTTGACAGTTTTCAAGTCGAATAACGCCTATTTCATTTTACACAAATATGATATATATTTGAAATCAGCATTGCTACTGTTTTTTTTCTGAACAAATTTTTTACTTGTAGACCCCTTCAGGAATGTGAGGAAAAATAGATTCAATCAAAATGATGACGATAGTGAAAAACAAGTTCTAAACTTATAAAATGTTATTTTAAGACAAAAAACAGGTGACTAAACAATAAAGTAATTGTTTTGATTGAATTTCTTTTATTCACATATTTCTGTCGGGGGGTTCACGAGTAAAACTTTGATCAGAAACAAAAAAATAGTTACAGAAAAATTTTGAAAATATACATAAGTCGAAAAAGTTACAAACTTCTTTTCAAGTACAACAAACTAAAAACGTTATTATGAGATTAACTTTTTTTTAAACTGTAAAAAATAGTGCATTTGAAAAGTTTCATTGACAGAATAATTGGAATGTACAAGTATAATGAAACATTATTTTAAATGAATAATTCTATTACAAAATTGAAGTTTTGAATACACCTTCAGCTTTATTTGTTTTTCTATCAAAAAAATACTCATATTCTTGACTAGTGTCATAATAACTAATTGTTAATTTCGTATGTTGTAAACATAGACTCTGTTTAAATTTTATAATCAAATCGAAATGCTCTGATTTCAGCATAAAAATGATCCAAAAAAATCATGATTTTTGATTTTGTATATTTGAATTAGTAAGTACATTGAAAGTTCAAAGTAGCTTAAATATATTTTCTTTTCATGCAAAAATTAAAATAAAATGAACAACAGAAATATATGAAGTTTGGTATGAAAGTGTCTGAAAAATTTTACAAACATTATTAATCGAAAATCAATCACAAGTTGAAACCCTATTTATGACTTCAAAAAAAATAACAGTATTGTATGTAATTATTTTTTTTTTAAACAAATATGAAGGTGATTTTTTTTTTTTTTTTGACGAAAGAAGCCAAATAAATCTGACTGAAAAAGAAAATGTTTTGCTATCTGTTGTATAAAATTATGTCTTAAAAAAAAAGAAGTTAAAAATCATCAAACCTAAAGAATTCTTAGATTCATTTTGTTCTATTTCATAAGAATATGGATTTTTCCATAATTGATATGTTTGATTTGGTTTAATAAATCGTACAAGATTTGTATAACGATATTTTAAAGTTTGTGCTTGTCGTTGTAAACGAGCTAAAGTATCTCGTAAATCATTATGCATTAAATTAATATCACGTTGTAAACGACGATATTCAAGTTTATTAAGACGCATTGCTTGAATTTGACAATCACTTAATACAGCTCCATTTTTAATACTCTTCTTCATATTTGATTTGTGACTTCTTTTTCTTTGAGAGTTTTTTTTTTTCTTACTTATTTTATGAGGTTGTCAAATTGAAAAAAAGAACTCTTAGAAAAATATTTTATTAAGTTTTTTTTTTTGGTCATGTTTTATATAAACATAATCAATATAGTTGGACTATATCGATGTATTAATTAAGAACAGATGATCGAAAATTAATTGAACAAAATGTTTATTAATTTTTTTCAACTATTTAAAAAAAAATCGCAAAAATTGAGTCAGAATTAAAATTTTGTATTCTGTCTAAAGATGAATTCAAAATTTGTGTAAGACTTCAGATTTAAAAGTTATAAGGTGACGATTCTATACTGTTATTTCAAATGTGAATCAAGTATCGAATCATCATCCATTTTAAAGAAATTCATTTATGACGATAAAAGTGAAATAAAATTCTGCTTCAATTGGTGCATTCTAGTAAACCATCTTGCTCTTATCTCGATACAATGAGACTGTTTTAATTCAATAGAACCGTATAAATCGATTACTTGATCTTGAGGGACTTAGTTACTTTTGAAAACAAATTTGAGAGAAAATTAAAAGCAGGATGTGCCATTCTCTTTTCTTTGGATAAAAATTCTTTACTATGTCTAAAGAGAAATTATATGAAAAAGAAGCAAACTATTGTTTATTTTTGTCTTGTATATACTTATTTGTTTTAATTAGACAACTGTGGTATCACTAGTTTTTGGACTTGGTCTCAGTTCTGGTTAAAATTTTCTATTGTTTCGGATCTTATTATTTTTTTTTAAAACAATTTCTTATAAGATTAAGCAAAAATTTTTAGATTTGTGCTCGTATTCCTCAATAGTAATAAAGTTGTTTTTTTGTAAAATAGAGAAGTATAAGAAAATTTTATGTATAGTGCATCAATATACCTATTTAGAAACCTATACAAGTCATCAAAAATCTCGATTCTTGTAATTTAATAATAAGCATGAGAATTTATAGTCTAGCTTTTAATAAAAACAATGCGCTGGAATCAATTAATAAAAAAAACAAAACAGTGTTCTATCTCGAGCCCGCGGATCGGAACCGGGGCCACTTTGCAATTTCCTAGTTTCAATATCACAGATTTACATAGATAATGAAAATTATGAGATAAAATCGCAAACACTTCAGTTATCCGTCAGTCAATACTACCATACGTGAGTTTCAGTTCTCATTTTATGCTCATCAATTTTTTGTCTGCATTCTCTATATTTCATTTCTCTTCCGACGTATATTCCTTTTCTACTACCATATGCAAAGAAGTTATCCTCATACACATAACTATCTTCATACTTGATTAAATATTCCCATTTGCTAATGTTCTTCATCACTCCTCTGGTGTAAATACAATTCTCCACCTGAGTTTTTTTTCGGAAAAGACTCTTATTCTATGTTTAAAACACTTTTCAGATTGAGCTTTTGATTAAAAAATTCTTCTTAGAAAACCACAGGTATCTATCTTGTGGGTGGACGGATGTGTGAGAATCAGCATATTAGTGTGAGTTTTGGTACTCTGCTCATCGATCCATCCTTAATCATTCATTCATCCATACTCCATCTATCCCTACACTCGCCCACCCTCATGATTATGATTTTCTGAACATAATAGAAGCATATTTAGTTCAAAATGTGTATATATAGAAAAATTAAAACCTCAAATAATTTGGTTGATAATCTTCACTATTTTAAAGAAAATGATCATGTGCTCATCGATCTGATTCCATCATTCTGTCATATTTTTTCTTGTTGGACTGATTAGTTACGCACATCATCGACATCATGTCAATACTTCTGCTGCTAAACAATATTTTTCTCCTTCTGTTTTCTAATTTGTGACATTAGCAGGAAGTTTCGGACGAGAGAGCGGGTGGGAATTTACCACTTCGGGACACCCGTAGGTATATAAATTCATATTCACGTTTTAAGGTCCTTAAAAAAAAAGTCAAGTTTTATCGGAATGGTCAAAATTAAGATAAATGCATGGGAACATAGGCTATGATCTTATCTTTCATAAGCAACAAAATTTTTTTACCCAGCACACCGTCTTTTTCAAGAATTTTTCAAGATTTCTGTCATCCCCTATTCGAAAAACAAACTGTGTTCAGAAAAAAAACAAAATCTTTTTCGTTTTTTCTCCGTTTATAGTTTCTTGATCGCAAAATTCAAATTTCTCTATCGATACTAATTCTATATATTTTAACTTTTTTTTGTTTGAGAGAGCACCTCAAGGCGCAGTGCAGTGCAGAGCTCTTTCATTTGATTAAGTTTTTCTTTTACTATATATACAAACATTTTTCTAAGTAAAACATCATTTTCGAGAGCTTTTTGAGTCATTGCACTTTCGACTACTTCTCTCCCCTTAAAAATAAAAATTTAAAAAGAAGGGCTCTATACTGCACTGCATCCTGACATGCTCTTTCAAACAAAACAAAAAAATAAATGTATAAAATGAACGTAGATAGGAAAATTTGGTTTTGCCAAATGAGCTATGTTTCACTTTGGTTGGTCAACATCGCCCTCAAACATTATGATATTAGGATGAAAATTTTATCATAGCTTCTCGACTCCAACCTCAACATATGCTGAAAATATCATGCCATTTGAACGTTCCTGGACTGAGATCGGTTTTCCCAGGAGGTTTTAATACATTTCCTACAATTTTAGTACGTTTTTTTACGAATATAGTTTTTCAAATTTCGCTGTGGGAAACGAAAAAAAAGTAGGTCGCAGTAGAAGCCCAGTGGGTTTTTATTCTGAAGGAGCGAGGGGAGGGGGTTACTTGAATGCTTCCAACAATAAAATGACCCTATTGATGGATGCTCGACTGACTGGTGAAGTGGTCTCTTAAGATGACAACTGATTTTAAAAATTGACTAAACACCAAATATCGAGATTTTTTTTTATTTCAAAGGTTATAAATTTGTAGCTCCAGTTTAGTTCTGGGAATTAAGAATAGAAGTTAGTTTACTCCTCTTCCTAATATATGCATCGCTCTCCGAGAAGAAAATAACTATATCAAAGTTAAAAATAATACAATATTGAAAAACTACTACTTTCATCGATCAATAAGAAAAAAAAACATTTCTTTTTATAATAACCACGTTTTAAATTTGTACTGTAGTTTCGCTATGACTTTTACTCAACAAATTCATATGATCAAGACTTTCAAAAGTCATCTTTCAAGTCATATATTATTAGAATTATATCTCGGATATTTCTAGATAAAAACTTATTAGTAAATAACAAGGCGCTAACTGTAATTGATAAATTATTCTATTTTTGTACATTTATTTATATAAACTAGATATGACAGTTGAAGATTCTCGTCCACGAAGTGCATCAAAATCTATATTAAATAGTATGACAACAAGTGTTGGACGATTTTATGAAAAAAGACATCAATTATATGGTGCTCTTGATCAATATAGTAAAGCTTTATCATCAAATCCTGATGATACAGCAACTTATATTGATCGTTCACGTGTCTTTCTTAAAATGGGTAGTATTAATAAAGCTCAAGAAGATACGGGTAATTCATATAGAAAAAAAAAAAAGAATTTCGTAATTTAATTATTATTTTAGAATATAGATTTAGCATTAAATTTAATTGGTGATACACAAAAAAATTCAAATCTTCTTTTTTATTATGTTTGTTTACAAAAAGCTGAAGTTTTATATGCAGATGGTGAATTTGAATTAGGTTGAGTAATAAACTTTTTATTTTATTTTTTTTTTTTTTCTACAAAAAAATTTATTTTAAATAGCATTGATGTATTTTCATCGTGCTAATAAAGTAAAACCAGCACAACAAACATGTATTGAAGGTATTCGAAAAACAACAGAAATTCTTGAATGTACTATTTGTAATTCACATATACATTTAACAATAACAAGTAATTTAGTTAATATTCAAGATAAAAAAATAAATAAAATAAATTTACTTAATCGTTCACCTATACGAAAATCATTATCTTCAATTAAAATACCATTAACAGAATATACTGATAAAGAAGCAAATCGACTTTTAATCGAAGTATCAAAAGATCGTAAATTATTAATTAATCTTTATAAAGATAAACAACCAACAGTTGGTTTGTATTAAAAATATATTCTTACTTAAAATTCATGTGTTTTCTTCTTTTTTTTTTATATAGGTTTTACGGGTTTGGATAAAGCAAAAACTGATGCACATCAAGCTATATCAATTATTGAATCTCAACTTAAATTTCTTGATAAAGCTGAATGTTTACATGTTAATGAAAATCTTACACAAGAAAATATTATATGTACATCAGAAACAGATCGAACAAATCTTGCTCGTATAGCTGAAGAAGAACTTATGTATTTACAAAAATTACCACCAAAAGAAAAAAGTATTGAGGTAACTAAAATAATAACAAAATTAGATTCTATATTGAATAAACTTTAAATAAGATAATTTTCAGATTTTATTTAGCATAGTTTAAACATTTTTTAAATCTGCTTTTTTTGCGTTGCGTTGAAAATGGAAAATGCATTACTCAGTCTTTCTATTTTCTTCATTAAGATGACTAGCACATAAATATGTATTTTCAATCGATAAGAAACTATTTGAAATAAATGATTAACTTAAGACGAGTTCAACATTTTGAATATAAGATTTTTCTTTACATTCTTCGATGCTTTTAAAACAATATAAAAATATATTTCTGTCACTTTTTGATATAAGAATCGTCGATCGTATAGAATTTCATCAATGATTTGCCCAATGCATCTATATCCAGAACGAACGGATAAGGAAATAAATACTAATTTGGTAGCAAGATAAAAATACTGATTTATTTAAAAGAAAAAACACAAAAATTTCTTGAAAAAACCGTTTGAAAATTTTGACTAGAATGCTCATGATCCTTGAATACTTAAATCTAAGGCTTGCATAGCAGAGATGTCCATGGCGGCGCTGCCGCTGCCGCCGTGGCGGTGGCGACGCGGCAGCGGCAGGTTTCTTAAAAATTCATCGCGGCAGCGGCAGCATTTTTTTTCGAGGACATTGAAAAACTGCATGAATTTAATAGAATTTCATTGTTTACAAATGAAACACCCCGAGACTGAATGAATCTGATGGACTAGTTCCAATATTTCTGGTCCAATACAGTTGCAGCAGTGAAAATCGAAACACTTTTTTGAAAACCATCGCGGCGCGGCAGCGGCGCGGTAACTTTTTTTCTAATGCCGCGGCAGAGTTTCAGCCTCGATGGACATCTCTGTTGCATAGCCTAGTTGATCTTCTATGGGTACACAAAATAATTGAAAATTCATCTCATAGAATACGTTGATTTTTTAAAAAGATCGATCGAAATTCTTTAAAAAAAAATACTTCTAATACTATAAGAAAATTTCTCAAAATAGATATTGATCATCATTATAAATTAACATTCGAAATTTTCATCTTAGATTTTATATCGTTCAATGAAAATTATCAATTGTCTTCATTCATCTGATAATATACATAATATAACTGATCTTCGTACACGTTTAATGTTAGCTGAAGCATTTCGATTAGTTGGACAATCTTATAATGAAATAAAATTATATGATCAAAGTTATGAAAATTATAAACAAGCATATGAAATATTATTACCATTAAAAGATCAAAGTTGTCTATATCGAGCTTTATATGATATAGGTCAAAATTTATTATTATCAAATAAATATATTGAAGCAATTGAAATATTTAATGATATGCTTAATAAATCAACATCAAATAATGAACGTGCATTTGTTTATCAATATTTATGTTTATCTTATTTAAATATAAATAATTATGATCAAGCTAAAAAATATGCATATGAATGTCTTGATTATGCATCAATATCAAATGAAGAATTATTACGTATTGAAGCAAATATATTATTAGGTAAAATATATTTTCAATTAAAAGATTTTCAACGTTCAAAAGAATATATTATTTATGCACAAAATCTTAAAGATAAATTAGGTGATTTAAATCAAATGAAATATTTAAATGATTTAATATGTCATATTAATAATCATAAAGAAAATATTTTTCAAAATAATATTTCATTATATGTTCAATATGAAAATAAATATTTAAATAAAATAAATCAACAATGGATATCATCAATTATGAATAATAATAATATTAATTTAGATAATCAATTTATTGAACAATTTAATAATAATAAATATATACAAAATTGGCGTATTTTAATACCATATTATCAACTTTTTAATATATGTAATGAAAATAAAAAAAAAATTCGTCGAAATATTGATCATAATAAACAATTTATGACAACTATTATTACATCTTCATCTAATTTACCATTTATATCAACAATAAATAATTAATCATATCTTCAAAATTTCAATAGAAAATATGTACTAACGATTATCTCATATTGATAAATTACTTAAAAGACATACCAAATAGAATAGAAGCAAATGTAATTTAATATTCTATATAAAAAAAGAAAAGAAATTTTCTTTTTATATATATAAATAATAATCTATATTATCGTTTTTCAACTAAAATTATAATTTCGATAAGAACATATTTGTCATCATAATATGATGATAGTACAAGATCATATTATTTTTACTATATTATCATTTTTGACTTTAGTCATTAGAATCTTTCAGCTTGACTTCTGACTTAGTCGAATCTAAATTCAAGAAATACAATTATATATGAATAATTAGATTGATCATTTGATGAACTTGTTATTTTTATATATATAGATGGCTAAATATTGAAGAAAATGAGAATAAACAAAACAATGATAGCAACAAGTAGAATATACACAATAAAAACAATATTATTGTCACGTATCTGCACAACTAGTTCTTATCAAAATATTATTATTATGATATTAGTTGAAGGACGACAATATATTCCAGATATATCGAGCACTATTTTGACTATCATTGTATATAGAGAGAAAGGTCTTGCAAACATTGCATTAGAGTACTAAAGTGTTTCTTCGCTATTAATATTTGAGTGTTTTTTTTTTTTTGTGAAAATACTTTTAAAATATTCCATATGATTAAACAGAAAGAATTTCTTATTAAGTGAAGTATCATTGTTGACTTTTTTTCTATCAAACTATAAACAGTCTATAGAAATTCTTGAAGCGTAAAATTCAAAAAATGAGTGCAGTCTAGTAAAGAGAGATTGTTGATTTTCCAGAAGATCTTGTCTTGCAAAAAAAAAAAATATCTAAATTGAAACAATGTCTTGTTATTTTCGTCACGAAATTATATGACATTTTTAATATCGAATAAATCGTTGTATGAATGACAATTTCTGACATATCGTTAATGTGAAACTGTCATCGATTTATTAAATTTTCATTTGATTCTTCCAAATCATTGAATTTTATTATGAAATAATATATATTTCTATTGAATCTAAACAATACTAGATAATTTCTTATTATATAGTCTCGCAATAAGTTTATCATTTGTTCTATTATGTACATTGAAATAAATATCAGAGAATTATTTATACAAGTGTAGAATAAATAACTTCTGGAAGTTATTACCAATAAAATAGCCATTGTCATAAATATATATATATTACAATTGACAAAATAAATAATAATAATCATTTTATGATCAAATAGAATTTCTTTTTTCTAACCAAAAGAAAAAGTGTATCCGATAGATTAGTTCTTGTTCTAGTTTAACAAGTTTCTAATAATAGAAAGAAATAGAATTCTGTATAATTACGAACAGGAAGTACTTGGCAGACGCATGCTGTATTAATATCTATACATAAATCATTATAGATATTGACTGAAGACGATGAAAAAACAACGAAGCTGTCAAAGGCGAAGATTACTTTTTTTCCTCTTGATTCTAATCTAGATAGATGTCATCGGAATCGTTGTAGAAATGTATCTATAAACTCGTTTAATTATTGGTCAATTATAATTGTCCATTTGACGTTTAGGTTGTTGTTAAATTGAGTCATATTATATTACATACACATCATACATGTATCTCTATATGTGCTTATTTGTTTAGTATAGACAGGGATGAGTTGTTGTTTTGTTGGTTAAAGTCATTGTTTTGTTTTTTTTTTTTTCTAATTTAAGATTGATTTATTTCCTGTGATGAATAAATGTGAAAGAACAGGTGATTTAGTTATTTAAAAAAGAATTTAATCTATTTTTATTTTTTAAGGGTGCTAAATGATGATTTATATTTAAATGTTAAAATAGAATGGTCAATAATATGGCTAGTACGGGAAATGATTTTGCCCAACGTACACGTCTATTGGAAGAGCGTATTGTTGATCCACGTTCATCAATTTCAATAGATAGTTTACTTGATTCAATTATTGCTTTAATTTATGATAGTGAAGGTCTTAAAAAGACAAAAAATTTCGATGGATTTTATGGAAAATGTAAGAGGAAAAAAAAAGAAACATTTTTTTTTGTTAATATTTAAAATAAATTAAAAATTCTAGTTCATGGATCTACACGAGAAATTCGTGATAAACGTGTTAATTTTGATGATTTTGAAATAATTAAAATTATTGGTCGAGGTGCTTTTGGTACAGTTGATCTTGTACGACGAAAAGCAACTGGACAAGTTTATGCTATGAAAACATTGAGTAAATTTGAAATGGTAAAAAAATAAAATAAAATAAAATAGATTAATTAATAAAAACTAGAATTTTTTTTTTGTAGTTAAAACGATCGGATAGTGCTTTCTTTTGGGAAGAACGAAATATAATGGCTTTTTCAAATAGTGATTGGATTGTTAAACTTTATTATGCATTTCAAGATGCTAGAAATGTAAGTCTTTGTTTTTTTTTTGAGTTGATAAAACAGAAATTTAGATAGAAAGGAGAAATTATTTTCATGAACTTATTATTGTTTACTTTATTTTCAAAGATTTCGATTAAATATTAGAAATGATTTTTGTATATATATCAATTTGTTCAAAAATATCTTTTGTTTTCGAATATTACTAAAGGATAATATGAACATATCCAAGAGTCAACTGATCTCGATAGTATTATATCAACAAACGAAAAAAAGAAAAACTTGAAATTCTATGTCTTTCTTTTTTTTTACACTAACTTTATTAAGAAAATATTTTTATATAATTTAGCTGTATATGATTATGGATTATATGCCAGGTGGTGATTTAATAACATTACTTACACGATATGAAATCAATGAAAATTCTGCACGTTTTTATTGTGCTGAAGTTGTACTTGCACTTGATGCTATTCATAGTATGGGTTATATCCATCGGTATGAAAAAGAATCTTTTTTTTGTTTTTTTATTCAATTATCGTTATTTTTGTAGAGATGTTAAACCAGATAATATGTTACTTGATGCTCGCGGACATTTAAAATTAGCAGATTTTGGTACTTGTATCAAAATGGAAAAAGTAATTAATATTAACAAGAAGTTTTTGTTTATATCTTTTATACTCGAATTTTTTTTTTGTTATAAAGGATGGTCTTGTTCGTTCGGATACTGCAGTTGGTACACCTGATTATATAAGTCCTGAAATATTAAAATCTCAAAGTACAACTGGTGTTTATGGACCTGAAGTTGATTGGTGGTCTGTTGGTGTATTTCTTTATGAAATGTTACTTGGTAAAAAAATTTTTTTTTTTTTTTATTTCGTATAAATTGATTTTGATTAATTTTTGTTTCATAGGTGAAACACCATTTTATGCTGAATCATTAGTTGGAACATATCATAAAATAATGAATCATCGAGATAATCTTGTCTTTCCAGATGAAATCCCTTTATCTACAGATGCTCGTGCACTTATTTGTGCATTTCTTAGTGATCGGTAAGAATTTTATTGAGAAGAAAAATGTAATGAATTATTTTTATTCGTAATATTTTAGATCAACACGTTTAGGTAAAAGTGGTGTTGGAGAAATAAAAGCTCATGCATTTTTTATAAATCAAAATGAATGGACATGGGAAACAATACGAAAAGGTAAATTTAAATAAAAATATTTTTTTTTTAGTAGAAATTTTTTATTTAGCTTCAGTTCCTATTGTTCCACCATTAACAAATGATGAAGATACAAGTAATTTTGAAGAAATTGAAAAATGTGATGGTCCATCTGAAGAATCATTTTCTGTTAGTAAAACATTCGTTGGAAATCAACTTTCATTTGTTGGTTTTTCATTTTCTAATGAAGCACAGTAAGATATTTATTTTATATGAATATTATTTGTAAATAATAATGTGGGTTTTTGTTGACACACATTGTTTTAAACGAAGTCATTTTTGCATACTGATAGTAGATATAATATTGATTAATCACTATTCAGTGATGACAGACTCTCTCATTTGTTCAGATATCAATAAAACAAGAATAGATAATAATATCAAAATATCAATCATCATCATAACTTAATTAGATTTCCATAAAGTTATATTTTTGTGTCGAGCATGTATTCTAATCTCTTATCACTATCGTAATTGTGATCCTTACATTACTAGAAGTAATTCACCACTTTTTACTTCCAATTATCGGATCTTAAAAGTCTTATCTACAGATTTATGATTAATATCCTGCAATGAAATTCGAAATGAATATAAAAAATGCATTTCTCTTATATATTCAATTAAATGTATAATAATTTGAAAATGTAAAACTATTTCGAGATGTCAAATATTTGATTTAGTTATAGGTCAAAGTTTATTTCTTTTATTCTTTTAAGAAAAATTTTAAATTGATTACAAAATTTCATTAGAACTAAAACAAAACAATATTTATCTAAATCTGTGGTTATTTGGGTACACAAAAAAAAAAGAAAAGAAAAAGGTTTCAGATCTGTACCGAGGTTAATTTTCAGCGAATTATCTCATACATCATATCAATCAGAACATAATTTAATAGACATGACCTAACAAGTACTACTCATCGACTGCATAAGTATTAACGAATATGTATTACTAAATTTTTATCTTACAATGAGATTGAATCATAAATTTTTCTATTTGAAAAAAAAAAAGATAATTTCATTTTAAATTTAGACCATTTCTTGATCGTCGTTCAACAACAAATGTAAGTTATACTCAATCGAAATCTTTTTTATATCTAATCATTATTTTCTTTTTTTGCTTAGTTCAATAATTTTAGTAATTCTGAATTAGAACAACGTTTACAAGAAAGTGAACGAATTAAAAATGAATTAGAAATTCGAATGAGGTTTTTATTTATTCTTTTTATCATTTTTTTTGTTTATGTTTTATTTTGTGTATATATAGACGTTTACATGAAGATTTAAATGCTAAATGTCAAGATGAAAAAATTTTAAATAGTAAATTATATGAACTTGAAAGAAAAAATGTTGTATTAGCAACAGAAAATAAAGAAGTTTGTATATTTAAATATTTATTATTTAAAAATATTTTTATTCATTAGGCTCAACGAAAATATGAACTTGAATTAGAAAATCGTCGAACATTTGAACGTAATTTAGATGAAGTTCAACGTTTACTTGATAATGAACGACAAGTTAAAAATCAAATGGGTGTAACAAATCGAGAATGGACAGATAAATTAATTAGTCTTGAACGACAAGTAAAAAAAAAAAAAAAAAATTATTAAATTTCATTTTTTTTTATTAGTTAAATGAAACAAATGAAAAACTTAAAATTGAACTTGATAGTAATATACGTTTAAAAAAACAACATCAAGATATACAAAAAAATTGTACACAACTTGAACGTTCATATAATGATATACATGAAAAATATCAAGAATTAATTGCAATTAAACTTAAATTTGAAAAAGATATTATTAATCAACAAGCTAATTTTGAACAAGAAAAAACTGCTAAATATATGGCATTAGATAAAATTCAAGAACTTGAAGGTTAAATATCATATTTTCATTATTTAGTAGAAACACAAAAAAAAATAAATAAAATTCTCATGTTGATAACAAAAAAAAAACTCGTACGTGTTTAAGATATCATAAAATAATATATATATATAGATAAGGTATTTATGATATTATCTTCATAAAACAATAAGAAAAAAATTCTATTAATTTATGAAATAAATACTTCGACCTACATAAAAAGGTCATATGATATGAAGGAGAAAGAACAGAAACATCTACTTATCAATCATTATTTGTACATGATAGTTGTAAAGAAAAAAAATCATTTTCTTTTCAAGAAGAAACTACTAGATAAATTATTTACGAGAAAACTGACAAAATTAATTAATCATCTGTGAGAAAAAAAACGATCTGGATCATATAGATTGTAATGAACTAAAAAATATCTTATTGTTATATATAAAATAGCTTTGAAGTCAATGTCATGGCCTTGCTCAATAAATAAACATAATTTATAAAAAAAAATAAAGTTTTTTTTTGTTCAAGATATACATTAGACTTTAGAATTTTGTTTTTTATTTAAATAGAAAAATGTAATACAATGACAATTGAATTATCAAAATATAAAGAACGTGATCTATTACAAATAAATGAACTTGCTGATTTACGTCAATCAAGTGTTTTCCTAGAACGAGTATAATAATTTTATATTATTTGATATAAAAAAATCCTCTTTGTTTTTTGTTTTTGATTAGGAAAAAGTTAATCTTCAAGTTGAAATTGATTCATTACGTTCAAAATTAATTGAAGAAGAACTACGACAACAAAAATTACAAGAACAATTTCTTGTTGAAAAACTTAAACGTGCTGGAACACTAAATTCAACTGATGCTGATATTAAACATGATAGTCAAGAAATTATTAAAGGTATTTATTATCTTTTTTACAGTTATTTCATCATAGAAGTAGGTCAACGAGTATTGAATAACCAAGGACAATAGACTCTTCTCAGAAACCTCAATGATAAGAATATGTTAGTATAAGCTAAGTGTTTTTATCATAGCAATTGGCTTTAATTGATTAGGACCTTTTTTTTCCTCTATGTAAACTATATATGTATTATTGATATGAAGGTCGAATGTATTGAAGCGAAAAAACAAAACAAAGTACGATACAGAAGATAGTATCTAATCAAGCGAGGATAATCGATTATTTATTTGTTAAAGATAAATCTATACTATGTTCGAAAAGTTACGAGAATTAGAAAAATTTGAATATCGTTTTTACGACTCGAGTAAATGAACTGAATTTTTTTGTTAAATCAATGATAGAGATATATTCAAGTTTTATATTCATAAAGAAAGACCATTTGTTAATGTCATTGGTACTATTTAACAAAGGCTTTCTCTAACCTTGTCCATGTCGATGTAAAGTATCAACATGCCTTTGTTATTGATAAAAATATCAGATCGTTTGCTCGAGCCGTATAGTGGAGATATTCAAGTCTTATGATTTTCTGGACACTCTATAATATAAACTCGTAAAATAAAACGAAAAAATTTAATTTCATGGTTCGAAAAATACATTCGAATTATTTTATACATGTCATTTATTACATATATAAAAGTCGTTACGGACATTGAATCTATGCAGAAAACAAGGTTATTTTATATACTCAATAACCTATGGTACAAAACTCATACTTTGAATATATACATATTCAAATTTTCCTTCTGTGATATAACTATTCATGAATATTTTCTCAAAAAAAGCCTCAAATTTAATCTATACGCAATAGTAGTTTTGGTCGAGTCCTTCAATTCAACGATATAAAAAATTCACATTTTCATAAAACTTAATCATTAAAAATTGCTGATATCTCAGTCGGACATTCTATGAATCATATCGAATCTCGATAAAATAGATTTCACATATAAATTATTTATCTTAGATCTTGAAAGAAAATTAGATGCTGAACGTTTATCATTAAAACGTTCAAATGATGAATTAATTCAAACACAAAAAAAAGTTCGTATATTAGAAATGGATTTAAAACAAATAACAACAAATTATAATCATTTAATACATGATCATGAATTATCAAAACAATCAAATGAACAAATTATTGAACAAATGGAATTTGATCATCAACGTCGTACACAATATGATAAAGATTTAAAACAATTACAACAACAATTTGATAATTCATTAAATAAAGAAAAACAAATGTTAAATGAATTAAATCAAATACGTAAAGAAAATGAACGTTTAAATAAAGAATTACGTATAATTAATAATGAATATGAAAATATTAAAACAAAAATTATTGATTATGAAGAACAAGTTGAAGGTTTAACAAAAAAAAAATATATATTCAAATTTAAAAGAATAAGTTTTTTTTTTTTTTAGTTGAAAGTAAATTTTCTATTCTTTATCGAACACAAATGAATGAATTAAAAGATGAAATTAATGAATTAACTGATAAATTACGTCAAACAACAAATGAACAAAAAAATCTTGAAGAAGAAAGGTAAATAAGATTAATTTAATACAAAAAAACAAAAAATTTTTTTTTGTTTATTTGTAGAGATAATCTTTCTAAACAACTTGAAATAGCAAATGTTAAATTAAAAACTGAAAGTTTAAATTTAAATCTATTACAAGAACAGTGTGCTGAATTAGACAAAGAAAAAAATATTATGATTATTGAAGTTGAAGCTTTACATACTGATTTTAATGGTCGACTTGCTTTATTAGATTCAGAAATTAATACGGTAAATTTTAGAAAATGATTAACATGTTTTTTGTTTTTCCTAATGCTTTTTTTTTTGTATTTTAGTTTCGAGATCGATATGAAAAATGTCAATATGATCTTGAACAAGCGATAAAAGATCGTGAAGCTATGTCAAATAAATTTAAACCTATGCTTGATCGTTTGTTATCAACATTCTTCTTTTTTGTTTGTTTATAAATGTTTATATTTTAGAAATGCATGAACTAGAACGACAAGTAACTGAATTACGTAAAAAAGCTGATGATGAACGTGCAAAAAAAGAAGCAGTATGTAGTTTTTTGAATTACAAAAAAAAACAAAATATTAATTTTTAGGCAGTAAAAAAACTTCAAGAAATAGTTACAAATCCAATACAAAATAATCCATTTTTATCTCGACCAACTGGTAGTAGTCGAAGACATGATCGTGATAGAAATGATCGTAATATTGCACGACGTCTTGAACAAGCCTTAGAAGTTGTATGTAGTAACACAAAAAAAAAAATTTTTAAGTCATTTTTTTTCTTTAATGAAAATCTTTTTTTTAAAAAGGAACGTACAAAATATAAAAAATTACAAACTGAAAAAGATGAAGAATTATCAACATTATCTGAAGATATAAATAAATTAAAACGTGAATTAGAAACACGACGAGATGAAATTGAAAAATATAAACGAATACTTGAAACACGTGGATCAATTGATAATATTTCATTAACAAGTGATGATTTAGATGATGATCGAGGTATTTCATTTTTTTTTTTGTCGAAAAATTTAATTTTTGTATTTAACATTACAAATAGATCGTTTGGAAAGTTGGGTACAAATTCCAACACGAAATATTCGACGTGGTGGTTGGAAACGACAATATGCTGTTATTGCTAAAAATAAATTATTATTATATAATTCTGAAAAAGATCAATTAGCAGCTATTTCAATTGATGTTGAGTAAGTTAGTTTTTTTTTTTAGAATGTTGAAATTTAATTATTTTCATTTGAAATTATAGCACAGTATGTATAAGAGTGAGTGTACATATAAAGTGTTCGAACTTTATATATAAATAAATAATTAACTTTCAGTATAACATGGTGATTAGGGCCATCTTAGTGCATATAGAAAACGTAAGAAAAAAAAACACAAACTAAACGACCATGAATGTCAATGCTCTATGGCATTGAATTAAATCAATAGAAAAACCTTGAAATATCGCGTTATTCTTTTTTTTTCTGCTTGATAGCATTATTCAAATAGTCTTTTTTTTTCTTGTTACTACATATAAACGAATTAATAATCAAATTCTAAGAAAATCTCGACATTGAATTCAACTGTTCATATTTATAGGTTCTTTTTTTGTTATTGTTGTACAAATCAATAAAAAATATATATTTATTCAAACGTATGATGTTTGAAAAGATATTAACAGCTCGGATATTTATAAATGTTAAACCTATTAATTTAACAGATATATCATATTCTGCCTCTAATATTTAAATAGCAATTATAACTAACCATTCGAAGTAATTCATCACTTTCGCAAATGTAAATTTTCAGTAAAAATCTTTACTAAAGACCTGTAAAACCAAAGAATAATTTTAAAAGTGATGAATTACTTCAAAAAATTTTAATTTTATTCATAACCCTTACTGAAATTTTTTTTTTGTTTTGTTTTATTATTTAGTAAACTTTATCATGTTCGTGCTGTTACACAAGGTAAAAAAAAACATATTTTTTTAATTTTTGTTTTACCTCGAATGTTCTTGTGTATTTTCATAGGTGATGTTCTTCGTGTTGATCCAAATATGATACCGAAAATATTTCAAGTGTTATATGATAGTGAAGGTCAAACAATGTTAAATAATTCAACAACAACAATGTCAAATTCAATGATTCATTCACAAGTAAAAACAATTTGTTTTTTTAAAAAAAATATTTCTATGGTTTCTTATGTTTTTGTTTTATAGGAACAAGATCGTCATAGTGGAGAAACCATTGAATACAAAGGTCATAGTTTTGTTGTTGTTGCTTACCGTATGCCAACACAATGTGAAACATGTAATCGTCCATGTTATAATGTTTTTTCTCCTCCACCATGTCTTGAATGTACACGATGTCATGTTCGTTGTCATAAACAACATTATGATGATAGAGAAGAATTTATGTTACCATGTCGAGGTAAATATTAATTTATATTAAAAAAAGACTTTATACAAAAAATAATTATATTTTAGTTAATGATAAATTATCAGTTAAAGAATTATTAGTAATGTGTGCAAGTGAAAATGAACAAAAACAATGGATTACTAAATTAAGTAAAAAAATACCAAAACGTGGAATTATATCTCAACATGATCATACACCTTCATCAAGGTTTGATTAAAGAATATTTTCTTTTTTTTTCTTAATTAATTAAATTCATAATGATATTATTAAATAAAATATAAGAATTAGATAAATATTTCAAGTATATAAAAGAATATATGAGAAAATCACTTCAACAAAAAAAAAAGAATTTTGAATTTTCTAAAAAATATTCGTTGATGATAGATATACAATAAAAAATTGAATTTAATTCAATCTTTCGGTAAAAGGCGTATTTTTTATGAATATCTATAGACAAAATTTAAAAAAAAAATTTCGTATTGACGTACAATTTTTTTTTCCCTCATCAATATCTTACAGAAAAATAAAACAAATAGGTTTTTATCCGTATTATAATATTTTTGTTTGATAAAATAAAAGAAAATTAACTTTGATTATTTAATTTTTTTTTAATATATCATCTCGAAATATTTAGTTCTAATAATTGTGATATTGAAAAAATCAAGTTATAAATATAATTCGTATGTTATATATTATTTGTTTTATTATTATTTTTTTTTTTGTAAATATATTAAATAATTTCTTGCTCATTGTATAGTTCGCTTTGGTTTTTGTTTTTATGATATATGTCTGCTTATCGATTTGACATATATCATTTAATATTAGAGCTAAAACATAAAAAAAAACAAAAACTTTATTTTTTATTTTTTTTGAATTTATTCTTATTTATTTAGAACAAGTACGACATCATTTCGTTCACCAAATACGAGTATTAGTTCATCAGCTTCCAATCTATTTGGTAATAATGCTGGTCAAACACCAAAACAAAAATCATCAACACTTCCGGCTCGTGCTAAATAAATTAAAAACTTATCCTAGTATTGATTTAACCGGTCCCTTTCTTTTTTTTTGTATATATTATATATATATATATATATATTTCTATATTTTGCACTTCTATAAAAATTTGTTTGTTCTTTTTTGCAAGTTAATTAGATATCAGAAATGAAAACAAAAAACAAAAAGAAACAAAGTCAATCAAAGGAAAAAAAAAAAAATTTTTTTTCTTGCGTGTGTGTGTGGGAATCTCTTTTTTTTTCTTTTGGTGCTATGTCTCTCACTCTCTTTATCGTTTTTTTTTGTCTTTTCTATTATAATATCGTCTTGAAAGAAAACTGGTCATTAGAGAATTAGTTTCATAGACGATTTTAGCATTATTCATGTTATTTTCTCTTTTCTTTTTTTTTTTTTTTTGATTATTGTCACTTAATTCTCATTGTGTTATTAGAATCATGCTTCTTTTCTTCTTTTTTTTCGTCGTCACTTTCTCGTTCTCAGATGTTTGTAAGACGAACTTATTATGATCGTCAGAATCTCTCTTGTCTTTATTTGCAATTGTACGACCAACGACCTCGGATGTGTCAGTCGAAGAATTTACAAAAAAATAAACAAAACTAATAATAAAGTGTGGAGCACTACTAAAACACAAATCAATGCTTTTTTTTTTCTTTTTCATGATATATAAACAAGCAAATATCTTAGATTGTTTATGTTGAAAAAAAAAAAAGAAAAATATGATGTGTTTTGATTATTCATGAGTATTTTTAATAGAACGGAAAAAATGTTCTGACTACTAAGATATGTTCTTTATTGCATCAGATAATAAACCCCCTCCCATATTAGAAGCCCCATGGGGCTTCTATTTGGACTTGTAAACTTTCTTCGGATTTTGCTGGAGAGATACCTTATAGGGGGGCTTCTAATAGGGTGAGGGCTTCTATTACGGGGAGAGGTTTACTAATGTTCTAAGAAAGATTGACGGAATCTAGGAACTTTTGCTGTATATCGATTAAGTGCAGATTTATAATATTTCGTATTTATTTCAATTAGAAAATCTAATTATGTGATAAGGACAAAAGTTAATAAATGAAATAGCTACTGATGATGGTTCGATTGTATCTGTTGAAGATAAACAGCTGTAACTATGATGATAGATTTTTAGTTATATAGTTATTATTTTCTGACAATTTTAGTTAATGTCTATCAAGTATAAATGCATCATTATAGCTACTGGTTATAGATATAAACAAATAGAATAATGAGAAAAGCCATGATAACCTATTAGACGTGTAAAAAAAAGCGACGTTAACTAAATACATTAGTTTTTCTTTTCGTTATTTTATGAGTTTCGACAGTTGTATATTGCGCCTATTTACTCTTAGGTTTCATCAACACAACTACTGTACAAAGTTCGTTATTAATTCTAATATACATAAATAATTTTTGAAAGAATGAAAAACAATCTAAGATATTCAATATAGTTTTTTTTTAATGGAACAGACTGACTAATCAATTACATTTCTATTTCACCTCCAAGTTTTATAATTTATCAATATATTATATATGTATAGATAAATGCCAAACATGCTTAGTATTTTAACCTGTTCTCAATCAGTCATGGCCAAACACGGACTATCTCGAGGGCAAGTACTGTAAATATTGTACTTGTGTAAGAATAAAAGTACAAGTAACGATCGTTCGCACGACAAGTATGCACATGAGTAACAAAGCCATCATATGGGAATATGTACGTCTATAGGCATACTCCTAATATTATTATATAGTTTATCTGTAAGATAAATTTATTATAAAAGGCCATAGTTTTACTAAACACGAACAAAAAAAAAAATATTTATTTAATTACACATATTTGATTTATGTCATTTTATATATTAAAATAGAATGTAAAATTATTTTCATAATTCAAAAGATCAAATTTCAAAAAAAAACTTTTATCAATGACCTTTTAATTTCTATAAATAAATAAAAATCTAAATAATTTAAATTCTATTCATAATTCTCATATTTTAGAATGTATAAGTACATGTTAAGATATATTTTTTGTTTATATCTATTGATAAAAAAGAAAAACTTGACAATCAAGGAGACAATGTTAATGAGATATAATTATGAAATGATTTTATCAACAACAAAAAAAAAAAAAGTATCTATGACAATAGCTTCTTAACAATAATAATAATAATAATAATACATTCAATGACTCGTCTGATTTCAAGTATGCATTAAACCTTTTTAAAATAAAAGAAAAAGAGTTATTTTTAAAACGTTCTAAATCATGCTTCTCTATTTCGTCATATTCTTTTTATGGGTAATAATTAATCACTATGGGGCCTACGAATGACGATTTGTTGTGATTAGTAATCATGGGAATTAAAGTATTTGGTGTTTAATGTCTCTTTTGCCAAGAATAATCGTTTACCGAGGAAGAGAAACAACGTCATACAATTATTTCGAAAATATTCTAAGCAAATATCATAGAGAATAAATCATGACTTATAAAAAGAAAAAAAAAATGATAATGAAAATTTAATGTAAAAAATAGAAAATCATAAATAATTATATTAAACAGAACTAAATTAGTTTGTTCTGTTTTTTTACAATAACTGTAAATAGAACATCTTGACAATAAAAAGAAAAAACAAAAAGTTTGACAATATAAGTAGGCGATTTCTCAGGTTTAAATTTACTTAAAATGACATACATAAGCAATCGTTATATTTTACTCAATGATCATGTTTTTTTTATTTTTTTTTATAAATGAATGACAATTTGTTTAAGCTTTTCCCGAAAAACCTGATATGATTTGTATATGGAGAAGTTTCTAGTATGATTGCTTACACGTTTTTTTTTTCTGATATCTTTTGTCATTATTTCAAGGAATGTCGCATATACTTTTTTTTTCATTCTCAATAAGCTGATGAAACGTCGTTTTTTCCAATGTGTCATGCATCAAGGTTTATGTGATATAAATACGAAATACAGCCATTATATAACTTTACCTTTACTTCACACTATCAATAATGGCCCCGACTGTTGTTGTTTGTCAATATCCTTCTAAAATAATCGTAAGTTTTTTTTTTATCTATTTTTTTTTATTTTCAATCTTTTGCACTATGCTCGTTTTGTTTTTTTTTTTGAAAGTAAATATTAAAAAAAAATGATACACATGCGGTACACTTGCACCCGTTCTATTTTGATTTTTTTTCATACTGTGATCGTCGTAAAACTGAATCATCATTTGTAAAATTGAATCATCTTTTTTTAAATATTTGCCTTATAGTTTAGCGTAAATCCTTTTTACACATGTGAGAGACTTAGCACCTTGCCTTGGGAGCTTTTCACTTTTCTTTTTTTTTTTTTCTTCTTTCACGGAATGAACCAGAAAAACATAAAATTGAATGTCACGCGTAAAAAAAAAGAGAAAGGCAATAGAAACCATCTGCTGTTACTGCCACGTCATATATACATTGATCATCAAATCCTTATGTGTCATCAAGATAGAAATGAATGATAGATTGTTACGAAGAAAAAAAAAGGAAACACGATGAAGCTGATGCAATATAGTAAGATGAAGTGGAGATATATATTTGTTTAGCAAAAAAGAAATTAAGATTCATTTTTGTTTAACCACAGTTTGTTCTCGAATATTCTCGTTTTCTTTTCTAAAAACAGAATATGGTAAAAAAAAGCTCTTTTTTGTTAAATCCAAGGTCATTCATATTTTCTTTTTTTTTTTGCGTTTCGTTTTCTGCTTTTTTTTTTCTTCGTATTTGAATCATGATTACTTCTTTTTTTTTTATTTTTATTTTTAAGTTAAATATAGAATAGTTTTCGTTTGCTATGTCAATTATTAATAATTATCTTTACAGATGTTTACCTTGAAATATCATGTGATTCGCAAACCAATTATTATTTTCTTTTTTTTTTCTTGGAAAAACTGCGCAGTAGATATACATTATAGAATGACGAAATATTGTCATCCCTCGGCATACAAAAACTTCTCATCCATTCTATGGGTACTTATCTGTTTAGTACTATACTACGACAACTAAATAATCGTTGTTTATCGTCTTCTATCATTCGAGAGAAAGACTAACGAACACCTAACCCTTTCCTTTTAGGTAAATAAAAGCGAACACGTGTTTTATATGTATATATGCATACATATTCTCTCAATTCTTTCTTTTTCTTCTCACGCGCAGTCATAGTCTTGTGACGTGTATGTGTGTGTGTATGTAGCGAGAGCTAATGCGAACGAGGCACGTAAGTATAAGCGTTGCAAGTAAAGGGCAAATTTGCACCCGGGTAAAAGCAAAAAAAAAAGAAGAGAACGAAAAAAAATACGAGAAAAAGAGAGAGGGACAGAGAGAGAGAGAGAAAAAAAAGGACAGAAAGAGAGAATCATATAGGCAGGCAACTAGCTGTAGTAGTATATATAGCAAGCAAACTGTTCTATATAGTCTTTATTTCTCTCGTGCGCGCAAGCGGCGACTAACAAAATTTTGTGTGTGTTGCTAGTGAGCGAAAAAACCAAGAAAAAGATCGTTCATCAGTTATAGTAAATCTATTTGATGGGACTAGTATTATAATACAAAAAAACAACAATTTAATTTATTATTATTTTAATTTATCAGACAAAAAATATAAGAATGGATGCCATGTTTACATTCGTAAGTATAAGAAAATCAATAAATGAATCTATATATATATATATATATGTATATATTTAGAGTGAAGAAGAATTGAATACAGGAGTTATTCATTCACAAGATGAATCACCAAATAGTAGTCCTTCAACATCAAGTATGTTGACAACAACAACAACAACAACACAAAACGTAGGACGAGTACAAATAAAACGACCATCGTCATTAAATTTATCGAAACCACCAGGTAGATAAAAAAATGAAGAATAATTTTATTTTACTATAAAATTCTTTTTTACAAAAAAAAAATAGAACTTGTTCTACGTGATACAACAAATGCCGAATGTAAATCGG